TCCCCAGAGGTGGGCCTCCCAGGGGATCTGGGAAGGCTGCTGGGGAGCAGCCCCTTGGTGAGGCTCGGAAGGGCGGGGTGGGGTGGGGACTGGGGCTTCTTCACCTTTGAGCGCCCCTTGCCTGACTGTGTGCACCAGAGTGGCCTGGTTCCTCGTGGACTTGGGTAGCATCTGCAGATCTGGGCGTCTGCAGGGACCTCCCAGCAGAGCAAGGTTTCCTGGACAGAGCGCGGGAGGCCCCCAAGCTCAGTGAGCCCGAGGCTGGGCAGGTCCCCTGGGGACCCACCAAGGGCAGCAGACCCGTGGTGTCCTGGAGATGCAGCCTGGGCTGCCCGGGGCCATGAGGCAGGGAGGGAGGGAGGCCCAGACGCACCCATTCGCCTGGTGACCCAGGGCCCATGGCATCACCTGTTGGCCCCTCTCCTCGGGGGCATGGGGCTTTGGCTGCTGGACGGGGGCTCCCGAGGAGGAGGGGTCCACTTTCCTTACCTCACCCCCATTTCTCGTGTGGCTGTGATGCCCGTCTCCACCTGGCCAGACTGGCCATCCCTCTGCACCTCGGTCCTCCTCCGAGGTGGGTCTCCAGGAGCTGCCTGCAGGGTGGGGAGTCCACTCGGAGGCAGTTCTAGTGGCAGGGGCTGACACAGGTCAGGAGTAGTGCACAGGCCTCCAGGCCAGGGACACCTGGCGCTGTGTTTGCCTACGGTGGCTGAGGTCTGTCTCCTCCCCGGCCTCTACTCTCACTCCGGCCAGGAGAAGCTGGCACCAGCCCTGTTTGCAGAGGAGACCCAGGCCCAGAGGAGCGGCCAGGCTGAGGCACAGCTGGGACCCTGACCCCTCTTCTCACCCCTTCTAGGTGTGGCTGGGTGGGCCGGGTGGCGGGGACCCCTGGGGCCAGGCCCTGGCCCCATCTCTCTTGCGTCCTCCCTCCCTCATCCTCTCCTCTCTCTCTCCAGGATGGTCGAGTACTCGCTGGACCTTCAGAACATCAACCTGTCGGCCATCCGCACCGTGCGTGTCCTCAGGCCCCTCAAAGCCATCAACCGCGTGCCAAGTGAGTTGGCCCTGCCCTGCCCCCCAGCCCTGGCCCTCCCGGCCAGCTCATTCATTCACTCAGAGAAGGGTGCCCAGCTCCTCCCGGGCCAGGCCGGAGCCTGCGGTGCCCAGACAGATGGGCCCTGCCTCCTGGGACAGTGTTTGGGCCCAGGGACACCGGAGGGTGGCTCGGAAACCTCTGATGTCCCAAAATAACCTGGATTGCACTCTCCTGGGGAGGCTGACTGCTCAGGGACAGGAGGTCCCTTGGGGGTGGTCTCCCAGGCCGTGTGGAAGGAAGCTGCTGAGTTGAGGGGAGCTCTGCCGCCCTTCACTGGGCAGGATCCCAGCCCCCGACCTGTGCTCACCGCCGCGGAGCTTAGGCTCCCTCAGGTCCTCACCCAGAGGTCCATCCGGCCACCCGCCATCTGTCTGACCATCCTCCCGTCCACGCATCCCTCCGTCCGTACACCCACCTCACATGAAGAGATGCCTTCTTGTAACCACGAGTCTCGGTGGCTGTCTGGCGTCGTCCAATGGCACCTCCGTGGTCTTGGTCCCTTTTTCTTTTTGTGATACTAGGGATTGAACCCATGGTGCTTAACCGCTGAGCTACACCCCAGCCCTTTTTATTTTGAGTCAGGGTCTTGCTGGGTTCCTGAGGCTGGCCTTGAACTTGCCATCCTCCTGCCTCAGCCTCCTGAGTTGCTGGTTCTCAGGTTCGCGCCACCACGCCCTGCGCCTGATCTTTTCTGAGTCTTACCATCCACCCTGTGAGGGAGGTGGACCGTCCTTCCTTTAGAGATGAAAAAGGGCGGGAGTGTGGACCCCCGCCCCTGGCAGTGTTGCCAGTGAGGCTGCCCCAGAGCCAGTTGGGTTCCTGACTCCGCAGCTGCCTTGAGTTAGGCGTGGGCTGGGAATCTGGAGAAGGGGCTCATGGGGTTTTCAGTCCTGCTGGGGAAGGACGGGGACTTTTGTAAGCCCTACCCACGTCTTGTGGTTGAGGCAAGAGGCTGATTCTTCCAGCAACTTGTGTTGAGGCTCAGAGAGCATTAGTGGCTTCCACAAGGTCACACAGCAATTCAGTGTGGGATGGGGATCTCGATGAGCTCTGTCCACCCTGAGCCTGGCTCTTTTCCTGGCTCCGTCTGGATCTTTGCTTCTCTTCCCTGCCTGACCCTCCGTTTCCCCGACTCTCCCTTGTCCTCCTCTGGTCAGTGTTGTCCCCCACCTCGGGTGTCTGGGCCTTGGGGCCCGTCCTGCCCCACCTACCCACATCTTTGTCCATCTGTTCCCTGAGGCCCTGGTCTGACTCGAGGCCTGCGGAGCGTGGCGGTCCGCCCAGGTAGGCTGGCGGCAGTGGAGGCCATGCTCCAGGAAGTTTGTAGAGCAAGGTGACCAGGAGGGGACTGGAGCTGGCTGGGCCTGGAGGTGGCCTGGGGAGAGGAGTGGTTCAGCCACCTCCTGTTGCTCTGGGGAGGCAAGGGAGGGACATTGGGCAGCTGCTGGGGGCAGGGAGCTGTGGTGGCCAGCTTCACTCCATCCTCTCACCCCTGACCAACACTAGAAAGCTCTTTAAAAGCCCAGAGACGGCTATGATCCGCTGGGGTCACACAGCAGATCGGTGGCTGGCGCCAGTTTCTAAGTGGTGCTGTTCCCCAACAGCATGTGCTCTTGTCCTGTGTTCCCCACCTGCCTGTGATGGGAAATGGGCTAAAGGGCCGACTTCATCATCCTGGCACCCAGACCTGTGCCTGGTGGCTCAAGGGAACCCCCAGAACACATGTAAAATGCATGTACTCCACAACACGGAGCATCTGCCCCTGCTGGAAGCTGGTAGGGAGCAGCCAGGGATCAGCCAGGTGGCCAGGGAGCTGGGGGACGTGCGTGGGAGGCGGGTGGGGGCGCCCGCCCTGCAGGAGGCTGGGTGTGGGGCAGGGAGAGGGGCTTGAGGCTGGAGAGGACGGGACGGTGTGGCAGCCTTGGTGCCCAAGGGTGATGGAGCCAGAGAAGGGGTCAGGGAGGGAGTGTCAGAGATGCCCCCGGCAGGGGGTGTGGGTCAGCTGGACACGGGCTGCTCAGTGCTGGGGCTGGCGGGTTGAGGAGGGGGAGGTGCGCCTGCGCCCAGTTCAGGTCCAAGAGCGTCTGGCCTGGGCCACTTGGGGGGGGCACCCCAGCGGGGGCCACATCTCTCCTGGGCTCCACCCCAGAGCGCCCCACTTCTGAGGGAGGCAGAGGTGGCCACTTCCTGCCACCGTCCTGCCCCTGGCCAGGGAGGCCACAGTTGTGGTCACCTGGCGGAGGTGCCTGTGCTCATAGCAGGGCTCATCCGCCAGTGGCTTTGCAAGATCTTGAATCTACACCTCCCGCAGGTCTCCGGCGTGGGCAGGCGTGGCCCAGTGATGTGGGGACGTGTCACAGTGGAAGGCCTGGGGCAGCGCTCACGCTTGCTGGTTTCTGTGTGTGTGTGGGTGTGAGGACCTGCGTGTGTCCATGGGAGGACACGTGTCCCCGGGTGCCTGTGAGGGTGCATGTGAGTGTGCCCGTGGGGGTGGCCATGAGGCGCGTGTGCACGTGTCCCCGGGTGTGACAGGAACATGGGTGGGCACCTGTGCCCGTCCTTCCTGGGCCCCCTGCCCCCCCTCGCCATGTGCATAGCTCATTAAGTGGCTCCTGGACTGGGGATGTCACTCCGTGTCCCAGCGTTAGCCTGCCATTTCCTGGAGAAGGCCAGGGACGGTCCTGAGCCCAGCGTTCCTGTGCTCCCAGGAGGCGCCAATTACAGAGGCTCTGCGCCAAGAAAGCCCGAGAGGGACCCAGCCTGTCCCCAGGGTCTCCCTCCTGCTAATGGCCCCCCCTGGGAGGCCCTCGAATTCCGCCTCAGCTGAGCGCCCAGCACCGGGAGCTGGGTAGGTGCGACCCTCCGTGTCCAATGTGGGAGCAGGGACTTTAAAGAGAATCCATATTCGTCATTTAACAGCGGAGCCCGCAGCTCATAGAGCACGTGGGGCCTCTGGAGGCCTCTGGTGCAGCTCTCATTCTCCGGAGAGACCCCTGTCCCCAGGTGCCTGTCCCTTGCCCACAGTCACCAGGGAGTGAGTGACCTGGGGGAGGGGGCATGGGCTCCTTACACGTGCTTCTTGGAGGGATTTTGTGGGTTTCCTCCCCCTCCCTCCCCCCCTCTCTCTTCCTTTCTCCTAAATGTGAAATTCCCAGGAACATCTCAAGTCCTGCCATCTGTCTCTAGGGTGGCATTGGCCCTGGGACACGTTCTTTTCCACAGTAGCCTGTAGTCCTCGGTTTTGCCACTAGATGGCAGGCTAGAGAGCTGGTATCAGGCAAATTGAGTGACAGGTTGTTAATTGCAAAGCGGTGGGGAGTGGGGTGGCTGCCTGCCCGGTAAAATTGCAGCAGAGGCTCCAGAGCCCCAACGTGATCGGCTGAGGTCCTTGGTGGGGGTCAGGGAATGTGAGTTCTGGCTTGTGCTCTGCCATAAGCCTGGGGTGCGACCTGGGCCTCAGTTTCGCTCCTTGCACGGGGCAGAAGGCACCGGGTTACCTGCATGTTTTCAGCCTGTGTAGGATGAGCGGGGAGCTGGAAGTCAGGGTGCTCTTTACCCAATCAATCGTGTAAAGCCAGTGCCCCGGGTTAGCCTCTGCAGCTTCTGTCCTGGGCCAGCCCTGAAGGATAAAAGGAAGGAGACGTAGAGGAGAAGGCTGGAGAGGGAGGAGGGATGAACTTTGAGGCAGGAGACTGGCTTCTGCTTCCTCACTGTGTGGCCTTCCTCTGGCCTCGGCATGAGGGGGCTGTATTATCTCTAAATGTGGTCTCTTCTGGCGGCAGACCCCTCCAAGGGTGTGGAAGGCACTCCCAGGCCTGGGGCCAGGCAGGGTGCTGACCCTGCTGTGTGTGGCGGGCAGTTCAGGCCCGGGAGCTGCAGGTCTGTTCCGCACCGTGGGCTGGTGCAGGGCCCTGGGTGGCGAGGGGGAGGAAGGCGCTGGGGAGCGTTGGGGGGGTGGGGGGGTGGGGGGCATCAGGGATGTCTTCCAGGGCTGGTTTTAGAAGAAGCTGACAGAAGGTCCCAGAGAGTGTCCCTGGTAGGTGACATGTGCACAGGTGGAGTAGAGGTGTCCCCTGGGAGCAGTGTGGCTGGGCGGGGGACACATGTCAGGAGAGGCAGGAGGAGGTTGTTCACATCTGGGAACTTGATAACGATCATAAGTGCTTGGGACAAACCTGTCCCAGTGTCTAACAGGGGCCGAATCACTTTTCCTTCAAAACATGGTGATGCCCAGTTTATGGACGGGGACCCCGAGGCAGAGGGCAGGGCAGAGCTGGGATCTGAGCCTGCCCTTACAGGATCCCAGGGCTCCTGACCTTTCTGTCATAGGCACTCAGTGCCCTCTTGACTGACAAGCGCCACAGGAGACACAGAGTTAAGGGCCCCTGTCCCTGTGTAGGGACACCTGGAAGGGACGCCAGGATCTCCCATCTGCCTGTAGCTTGCTCTGCTGCAGACCTCTGCGGCCTCTCCCTGCCAGGTGCAGGGTTCCCACGCTGCAGGGCCCTCGGGGCTGAGTCAGGGCCACGCAGGAGGCAGGCGAGTGCAGTGGTTAGGGCAGGAGGCCCCTGTCCTCATGCCCAGGCACGTGCCTAGAGGGGTCACGTCAGGCCAGCCATCCTAGGGAGGGACAAGGAGGGCCCAGGATTCCTTCTGGGGGAGCTTGACCTTGGCAGGATCTGGGAGGAAGAGGAGCGGCACATCTCATTATGGAGACGCGCCTTTACTTGAAGGCTCTGGGCACTAAGCCCTGCCACACCTTGGGCTTTAGGCGTCCGCCCCAGCACCCCAGGGCTCCCAAAGGCCGCAGCCTCCGCGGGGAAAGAGAGGGAGGCTGGGGAGAAGGCGGGGGACCAGGGCTGGCTTCCTGGGCTGTTGCTTTCTTGGAGTGGACGGGGCAGGGCGGGGAGCATCTGGCCGGACACCTGGCGAGAGCCTGACTTGGGAACAGGAAATGAGATGCAGCCAGGAAGTGCTCAGTGTGGGCGGGGCAAGGGGAGCCGCCCGGGTCAGGTTCTAAGTGGTTTCCATAAATCCTGAGGGCAGGACACCTGGAGGGGTCACCAGGACCTCTGGTTGACCCAAGGGGGCCACCAGGTGTGGCCCTGGGCCAAGTGTGGGGTCAAAAAGAGCCTCAGCCACAGCCCCTCCCTGCAGGCGGCACCTGACCTGGGGGCCACGGGGCTGGGACCAGCTGCCATGGGTGGGGGGAGGCACCAACGCAGACCCAGAGAGGATCCCAGAGGAGGACGTTGGCAGGATGAATAGGGATTGCTGGGCCGCAGCGGACAGGGGCCTCCAGTGGGACGGGTGGGCCCGACCCCCAGGTGCCAGCTCCTCCAGCTCTGGGGACCTGAGGCCTCCTGGGTGGACAGATGGGGGTTCCCTGGCTGGGTGGCTTCAGAGGCCCCCCGCTAGCCCACGGGCTCTCTCTAGCTGGGCCAGGGCCAGCAGCTGTGACCTCGGCAGCCTGGCCGTCTGCTGCCTGGCCTGGCCTCCCCGGCGCCCGCTGTGCCCCTGATTAGTTGGCGTTGGCAGTGGCAGGGGCGGCAGACGGCCTCTCCTGCCTGCTCAGCGCCCTCCACTGACCCGGCCAGACCAGGCCTGGAGGCCACGGCACAGGCGTCCCCTCCTCTGTGTCCCCTCCCCGGCCACAGGCTGTGCCCCTGGTTGGCACATGGCCAGTGAGTTCTCCGTGAGCGGGCCTGGCAGAGGGGCCGTGCTGCTCTGGGCTGCCGGCTCCTGTCTGTGGAGAGCACCCGGGACCTGGAGGGGAGATGCTGTCACCTGCCACCCCCACCCACTCCCCTGAGGGGCTGCCCTGCTGGCCGGGGTCCCCGGAGCAGAGGTCTGGTCTGGGGTCCTTCCCCGGGTGGGGAGGGGCGCATCTCATGCATTTGCTGCTGTCATCTGCCCCAGCTCCCACGCTGCAGAGGACAGTCCACTGGCCCCACCCCAGACTTGGGCCGATTCCCCCCCAGGCCCTGAGGTCTAATGAAGCAATACCAGGTGCCCCCGACTCTGCACGTGCTGGGCCTGGAGGTGACCCCGAGGCTGGGCTTCCCAGAGGGCCACCCCAGCCTGGACTAGCCCCTGCGTGGGCAGTGGCATGGCAGCCACAGGACCCCTGCTGTGGGCAGAGTAGAGCAAGGTCTTGTGGGTAGAGTGGCTGGTGGCCCAGGGGAGGGCGAGGGCTGGTGTCCAGCTGGAACCACGGTGGCCGTGAGGCTGTGGGCCGGGCGTGAGCAGGGCGGGGCTGGTGGGATAAGGCTTTGGACTTTCCTGGGGTGACCTGCTGGCTTTAGGGGCTCTTCCATCAGAGGTGCCCCAGCTGGGCAGTGCTCCCGAGAGGCCGGCTGGACCGCACATGCCACTGTCCCCATCTGTTGATGAAGCCTTTTGGGCCCAGAGAGGGCCAGTTCTGGTCTTGGGGCCACCAGGTCTGGCCTGGGACTCAGAACTCGTGTTCTAGGTCTGTGCCTGGGTGCCCAGCTGGACAGGGCTGCACCAGTGCCCAGGCCCCCCGCCTTCTTGGCTGGGACCAGGCCCTCCCCCACGCTCTCCTGGTGACTCTCCTGGTGGCCTGCAGCCTGGCCCTTCCAGATCGCCTGATCCCTGCTAAGCCCCTGCTGAGAGGGAGACAGGACTAGAGGGGACTGGAGGCCTTCCTGACCAGCCCAGGGTGGGCACCTGGAAGACTGCCTGGAGGAGGAGGGTTTGGCTGGGAAGGTGGAGGGAGTTAGGAAGGACGGCCTGAGGGTGACATCCCGGTGGTTTGCCTGTGCTGGGCTCCGTGTCCCTGTGGATCCGTGCTCTCCCCGTCTGTGGGCTCTGGTCCTGTCCTGCCTCTCCCTGCGCTGTCCCCCTCTGTTCTTTGTGCCCATTTTCCCGTCCCTCTGGGTCCACTGTCTCTCTGTCTCTCTCTTCTCTGTTCCCCTCTCCCCTCTCTCCTGCCTGCGCTGCCTCGTGTGCCCAGGGCCAGGGGAGCGGAGGGCAGAGTGGAGCCGGCTGGCCCGTCCTGCCTAATTGCTTGACCCAGGACATAGAGAGCGCGACCCTGGGTGCCTCGGGCTCTTCCCCGGCCCCCTCATGCTGCGGCCCCCCTCCCAGCTCCTGCCGGGGCCCTGGTCAGCTAACTGTGCCTCTGCCCTGTGGCCCGGGACTCCCAGAAGTCAGCATCCTGGGCGACAGGAGCTGTGATTAATTGAGCGACCAAGGCCAACCCAGGGGCAGCCAAGGGGGGCTGCGCTGAGCTGCGGCTGCCCGTGTCGCTGGTCCAGCCTCTCCTCCGCTGTGCCGGCCTCTGCCAGGCCTCCAGCACTGCCCTG